GTCTTTAGTGCATTTCCCTTGTTGTATTAATTGAAATTACGGTTATTCCGACGATTTTTCACAAAAAAATTGCTGCCTGATGTTTAGTTCTGGTACTAAATGTCAGCAGGCAGTCGAAAAATCTAAAAATGCCGTGCTTGTGTTTGAAACTTGTCGAACAGTATTATTCGGTCTTTATTGCATTTCCCTTGTTGTATTAATTGAAATTACGGTTGTTCCAACGATTTTATAAGAAAAAWTTAGACTGCCTGACGTTTAGACACTCCGTTATTTTTTGGTGTTTTTATCTTTAATTACTGCTTTAGTTTCAGTGGATTTTAATAGGTACATATGAACTCGTTTCACACTTAGTCACGTAAGTGAAATGTAGCCAACTATGTCAATTCTTGTGGTCCATGTGATCCCGTGGAACATCCTCTATTGTGAGAGAGTGACGTAAGATAATCTATCTTCCATACAGTTCTTTAGGCCCTTCATGAGTACTGTTCATTATTTTTTTGGTAACGGAATGTGATTGGCCAGATCGTAGGTAAACAATAACGTAGAGATAGCGGAAATTGTATGGGATGTAGTAAATGTGTATGAATTTTGGATCCCGAACGTGTCTCTGCCACTCATGTCACAGCGAAACGGTACGGCCCCATCTACCTACTTTTAGTATTACCATACTAGTGGACTATTGCAAATCCCTCGTTCTGATTGGCTACGCTACTCGGGTTCTATTTTCAATAGTCATCGACTAGCGACTTTTTGCGTATTTTTAGCAATAAAAATATTTAGTTATTTATATATTTCATTCACATTTTTTGTCCAACCAGTATGGTAATACTTTAGATCTCTCGGCCTCGTGGACTACGAGCTGATAGTCCATTCCACGGTGCCCAGCTCGTGGTCTACTCGCCTTCGAGATCTAATTGTTAAATAATCGCCTTACTTTTGAAAACATCTTAGGCCATCAGGCAGTATATTATCAGATTCTATAGGGGATTTCAGGTCTCCGTGGACCCCGTTTTGCTGAACAATTTAGAAAAGTGTTGTCAAAATCCCTGAAAATGGTGGAAATCGCATTTCTCAGGGTCTCGATTTCAAACTTTTGCTTGGAAACGTCCCCGGATCCTCTACTTCCTCCTAACTTTGGCAAGAGATGGMTACAGGACTTCAGGACTCCCCCCCCTTCCATAAAATACTGTGTATCCGCCCCTGTTAGGATTATCTAAGATAGTCGGAACATACCAGCACTTATTTGTTGAGCCATCGTCCGTGTTTGTACCCCAGGACTCATGACACTTATGCACCATGTCGACCAGTAGAAGAATCTCAGCCACATTAAACGAGAACCCACACGCCATCGCTACGTATATCAATATGTTGAACAAGRATCTGATACTACTTACAAATAACATGGCCGCTGTAATGCCTACAACAAAGAAGACAAAACCCAATTGAACTTTAAGCAATCATAGAATTMATCGTTAGCGKATGTCCGCACGTATCCAGGKGGGAGGTGCTTTGGGTGCGGACGCATGCARCACCCCTTTTTGGACGACATAATTTTTTATATATCAGTATAAACTTTTAAACGTTTTTTTGTGCTGTTTATACTCCTTTGTACTTTTATTGAGAAAACACAACATGTGTCTACCACTATACTATTTGAGTAGTGTAGTCAAAGATGAGTTTCAATTAAAATGAATTTGCTTCCGGTCAATTTGTTCATAATTTTTTGCTCTAGACAATACGCAGTTAACAAAAATGATCAGTTCCAACTGCTATACTTAGTTTTTAGCTATATATTACTGACAAAAGCCCCCCCCCCCCACTATAAAATGCTGGATCCGCCTCTACGTATCTTGTATAATGATCATTGCAGTAAAATTCTAATGAACTAAGCGATTATTAACAATTGGATGGACCGAAACATTTTTTTTCGCGATTTAACCCTMAGTTAAGTCCCAATCGTACATTTTTGTACGATAATCAACCACTCTTTTTTGAAAAATTCCCTTTTTTCTCTGTTTATTGGCAAAGGTGCTAACAAATGTATTATTATTGATTGTCTTGTCGTTACTGGGAATTATCTGCCTGCTAGATTCTAAACTAAGACTTCTGCTTCTTTTTCTTGACGATTACAGTCACTTTTGTTTTGATGAGATCTGAGCTGCACAAGCTTACAATTTAGACAAGGAAACTAGAGAATGGCTTGAATTCTTTCCAGTTCTACTGCTCAAAATCCTTAAATTCATGCCAAACCTCAACTTTTTCAGGAAATTTGACACTTTTACTTTACATTGGTCAGTCTATTGCCTATTGTTTATTGGCCAAGCCGAGAAAAAGCTCCTTTTTTGGTCCACTCCCCGACGCACATGTTTTCTTGRGTTACACTAGCACAGACTTATGGGTAATTGCGTATTTTTTCGAAGTGACAAGTCATTCGGTCCTACCAACAAAATATTGCTTTTTTTAGAAGTCCACTTTCCCATTGTTGGTTAAATTCCTTGAGTAAACTAGAACAGTGACAAAATGCGTTTTGGACGATTTTCGCACCATGACACGGGATCCAGAATATTCATGTATTCCGGATTCCAAGCTCAGTCATTGTGAATTAGTATATTATAGCAGCTGTTATTGGTCAATAGACCTAATCGGCTAACGGYGTTGCTATGTACGTTGCCACCCAATTCAAATCCTGTGTGAAAAAGAACTTTTGTTTCTAAGAATTCAACTGTGAAATGAAAATATAACCTACAATGAAACTTACTCCCAGGTGGTTTGAATTGGGTTGAAGCCGATYAGGTCTATTAAGTTTGACTTACCTAACAAAATCACATACTTGACTGGCCAAAGACCATGATGTGCCGTTGCTCTTATACCATTCTCAGAGCTYGTCGCTCCAATCAAAAACAATGACATAACGAAATGAAAAAGTCCAAGTGAAAAACAAATTCGATAAATAGCAGAATAACCAAAAATTCTTGCACAAGTTGTCTGTCCGAGGTAACGAGAACAGAAGCTATTCGTTGCTAGGGCTTTAGCTCGAAAATCAGTCACCAGTAAAAGCAAGCAAAACAGCCAAGTCACTAGTAAAATCAGCAAGTATTTCAGGTTTGTCAGTACAAACTTGGAGACATTGAAACATGAACAGCAACAGCAACCTTCATCACAGCGAAGAGCGAYTGTACTCATTTCTGTGCAKTTAAGACGACTTGAATGATTTTCACAAATCCAGATCTYCACTGACTGTCGATTGTAAACATTCTATATATAGATGTGATATCATCATCAATCCAGTGTATTTTCGATTCTAAGTATCCAGGACAATTTTTTCATACGCAATGAGTTAACACTCYCTTATAGGCAATCAATAAATTCTAAGTATCCCAGAAAATGTTTTAATACGCAATGAGTTATCACTCCCTTATAGGCGATCAATAAATTCAAACAGTTTAGACARTCATGTAGATTCATGATAAACTCAATGATCCCGAAAAACAGTGGTCCGGATAAATCGTAGGTGAAAAGAGAAAAGATGGCAAAATAATTCTTTTTATTTCATTATAAATGTGAATGTTGACCGTAAAGTATCAYAACCTGCAGGTACCGGTTTGACTAAGGGTGCTTTCCATTTAGGCAGAACTGGCCGGCCAGTCCACTCCATTTAGAGGTATATTATGCTTTTTGTCAACATTTTTTGAGGTTTTCTGTATAATAATGGATGGATTTGAAAATTTGAATTTCCTAACTAAATGGGAATGATATATAATGACATTTTCTCTGGGTCTGGCCAGCCAGTTCTGACAAATGGAAACTGTGCACTAAGTGTCTAGCTACCCGGCAACCGGGATCGTTTTTCAAAATACTAGATACCCAGCACTATCACGCGATATCTCCCGGAATTGCCTCGTTCTAAGCACTATAATTTTCTTTCATTTCTATATCGTTTCTATCATAGTGCCATGCGGTTATCATATTCATATCTTTACGCTATCAGATAGTCTATGTATTTGGTCTTCCTGTGTACGTCYTTTTGTACGCTGTTCAAAATACTGTGGGCGCATTCCTCACCTTAGCAACGCCATTTTGAAGGAAGTAAACCTTTAAAAAACATCATTAAGTCGGTGTGAAAACTGGCCATAAACATGGATTTGCGTTGACTGTAGTTGCTTGTTTGTCAAAATGGCTAATAATCAGCAGTTTGATAAACGCATGTTTAATATTGATGGTAGCGAAGGGCATGATTCMGGCGCACTAACTCCCGAACAACAACTCCAACTTAACCAGTTCAAGGTAACGTACCTAGCTTAGCATGTAAGCTTACATTGAAATTAGTTCTCATTTGGTATTAATAACAAAGAAAAGAATGATTTACAGTTAAGGTCTTAATTTAGCATGATGTTTTCCCAAATTCTTCAGATTGCTCAATTATCAAATGTTTGTCTGCTCGTTAAGCTTAAGCTTAAGCTTAATTAGTAGTAAGGTACRATCTTGTGCAAAATAAACGAAACAYCCGGCCCCATTTCCCCACTGCAAGGCTGCACAYACGTTTCTTTCCTCATCCTTGTCGATTTTGTAGCAATTCATTGACGAACAAYATTGTAAAAGGGGAGGGGAGATTGTAGTAACACAATCATAGACAGTGTTTCATCTACATCTACTACACAATTTWGCAAAAGATTGTAGCTTAATGTTTTACAAATGTCTGGTATAACTTAGTTGACTTTGTTTGTTTATGATTTAGATTACAACGAGAATTGATAATGAAAAGTATCTTAGAGATCACCCTGAAGTATCCTATTTACTGGCTGGATTTCTAGGGTGAGTCATTTAACACTTATTTACTGGAACCAAGGAAACAGTAACTTATGTTTTGTGGTCCTGAGACTGCAGATGTTTCCCTCAGAGAACATCAGCGGTCGAGGGACCGCAAAACATACTGTTTCCTTGGTTCCAGTAAATAAGTGCTTTATTATCGTATCAAGTGTCAAAGAGAGCAAAACAAGTGAATAATTAAAGTGTTTTTATTAAAGATTAAAAAAAATGGCAAATGATATAATACAAATAGTCAAATGTCACTAAATCAATCAATGTAATTAACAAAATGAATACTATAAATGTAACTTAGCTATTTTTATTTATTAACGTCTGAAACGTCAGTAAGTTATTTCACATACTTTTTTTACGGTGTTAAATTTATCTTTTTACATAACTGTTAGCTATTTGTAGTCGCAATTAAATGTTTCATAACAATTTTGGAATGCAACGTCCGTAAATGTGACATTTTCACGACACTGAAGAGTGTTCTTCTGCGACTTTGTACTTATTGACGGTCCACAACATATTATTGACCGCTGGTGGACAGTTGCCGGGAAACAGTAAAATTCTCACGTGGTACACTCTCGACCAATAAGATACTAGGAAAAGTGAACTATGACACTTCATATATAATAATATTACTTATTGTTGTTACTCTTGAAATATTGCTGTACAGTATTAAAGACGGTTTTAGCATATTTTTTAAAAACAACAATCAACAAATTACACTTGGGAGTTGTATGTCCTGTTATTGACACACTTAATAAGCCAATCAGTGTGGGGCAATTCATAAGAGTGTAATAAAATTCTTAATTAATTGATGAAATATCCAGTTTTTGAATCCACCAAACTATGGGCTATTACAAACCCAGCATTCTGATTGGCTAGTGAACTGTGTTATATTCATGATATACCATAGACCAATGTTCATAAGTGCCTTCCATCTGTCCATCGATTTCATACAATTAACAATAATGGAAATATTCAACGCTGTATGTCCTATGGAAGAACTATCCAAAATAGATATTCATGGAAAGTTTTGAAGCTCTTGACCAAATACTAACTAAGTAATGAAGGAATAAAAATACAGGGATTTGTATAGAATTCTTTGCTGAGACCTTGGTAGCCTTGGTGTCTTTATAGTTTGGTGGATACTGGTAGGAGTAACTGCCTCATTACTAGGGACTATATAATCTATCTCATGTTTTTTTAAATACATGTATTATATTCACTTCTCTCCATTACATTCAGTGCTAACTTACAGTTTTCAGATCTCAAAGTGATTTTTCAGCATTCTATATTATTGTAAATCCTGATTATAAAAAGAGCAATTTATAATCCAAAAATGTCAGAAATGTTCAACAATGCTCCAGGGATAGACTGCCTTTACCTCAAACATGATAACATTTGCAACTATAAATTGAACAATAATTCAAGCCCATATAGATGAATGTAGATTTCAAGTGCTTCAAAATGCAGAAATTGTAAAGCTTTGAAAACACTTCAGGCCACATAAAAACACTGTGACAACAAAAAACACTTCGGAAAGTTGAATTTGTCTCAGGTCACAGCTAAGTTGTTTTGCTTATTTTGATTAAGAATCATGGTTCGAATTTAGCCTCAATGATGGATTACAGATTGATTCTTTTAAAAACTGTGGATCACAGATTGATCCTTTTAGCTGCTACCTTGATTGTCTAGCACCTTAAACTTTGACAACATTTTATGCCACTGCTATGCTAAAGTTTAAATGAAAAACATTAACAACTACCAGCTACCAGAATCATTAAGGCGCAGATACAAAGTTCTTCTGATTGCTTTTTGAAGGAGAAACTAGGCAAAAATGTAATTATATGACTTTGAGGGCAAGGAAATTCTCAATATCACCTTGGCATTGTCCATCTGTCTGCTCACACAATGTTTGAAAATCAAGCTTGTGTGTTACTAGTATAAGATATTTGTTTTGTAGTTCAGGTTCAATGTTTTATTGAGACAATCAAATTTGCCCCATTTTTAAAGGGATTTTATTTCCGAGAACTCATTTATAAAACAGGGCTCAGAATTTCACTAAATCATTTTAAAATCCATGCATTCTAAAAAATTCCAAACACCAAACTGCAAGCTGTAGTCATCCATTTGCAAAAATAGATTTAGCATGTGGCAGTCAAGACATTTATGATCCATGCTACATTTGCCTTCTACAGTAGCCATCACTTCTTTGGCCAGCATTACATGTTTCATAAGTGTTGGTCTGTCTTTTCTTGAAAGAAGTAACTAGTACATACTTGGAATTGTTGAAAAGTGTTGTATGCTAAGGTAGTAAATGTTGAGGTAGAGTGTGTGGGTCAGTTGGTTGTTGTCTGGCTAGAGTGATTGAGACATTGATAAATTATTTTTTGTATTTAGTGAGAATTGAGCTAATTAAATTATTTTTCTTGATTGTGTATAAATGTTACCTATGATTTTTTGAGATGACATGTTTATTTTTGAGAAATATTTCATAATTTATGATTCAAGAAACAAGTCAGTATAGGCGAATAATTTGTTTACATTTCAGCTCATTAGTGTATCATTAGCATATTATTAGCATTATATATTAATTATATAATGTTGTAACCTAACTATCAGTAAATCAGCACTGATTTATTCAAACAACATGGCACAATGAGCTTCCAGAGCAATTTCGAGCTTTCCATATAAAAATAGTTTAATTGTGTCAAACAGTTTTAAAAACTGTAAAGACCTCAAACTTTCGTAGTTTTAAATAGTTCTTAATTATAAGCCCTTTTACAGTTTTTTTTATTCAAACTTTATGGTAATTAGCAAAGATCTGCCTTTAGGACACATGTAACAACATGTAATTATAATTACCCTATTTTCATTTATTACTAAAAGTTATGGTGCCTCTATAAAAATAACCCAAGGCATGCTCAGGCTCAGTGACCACAAGAGCTTTGAACCAAGGTGCAGTGACTTTAAAAAWGATATCTGTTGAGATACCTCAGTTAAGAGCTTTGTTCTCATGGTCACTGAATCTGGGTGAGGAAAGGGAAAGTGATGAATATTTTTTGTGCACAGCTTATCAGGATTAAGCATTTCACTGTAACAGTTGTTAAAATTTCTCTTTTAGAAATGTTTTCAAGCAGAGACCAGATAATGTCAGAGAATTTGCTGCAAGTATGTGGAGGTTTTATCATTATATTTTACATGTTAATTAGGGGTTTGAAGTAACGGACCAACATGTGACCCACTTAGCAGTTTCTTCTTTGGTTTTGTGAGAGAAAGAAAAGAAACCAATGCAAAAATCTTGTAGTTTTGCTGACCTGGCAAAAGCCCAAAATCCCAAGTTCATTTTGTCAATGTCAAAACTGAGCTGTCAGTATGAGTCCTCTTGTAGCTTCTCACCAGACCCAGGATTTACACTGTTCAATTTTCTTATCAAACATTTGAGTTTGTGGGCAACAGGATTTCAGCAGAGTTTTCTTTATTTCTTCAGTTCATACATGTATGGAGGTTAGATAACATCTGATATCATTGTAAAACTGCATAATTTTTCCCCCTTCGTTTTGAGTACCTACCCCAAAAACCTAACCCTCCCATCGTATTCTAACCCTAATTTTAAGTCAATTTTTTTTATACTTGATTGATGCAGAAGTGTGTTTCTTTTTCAATCAAAAATTTCAAAAATACCCTAAAAAGTCACTTTGGCCGTTTTCGCAGCCAGCTCTTCAATTGTATGTGATAAATCTATGTTGTCATATTATATTGTCTTTTAATTTTTTGATATATAATGCACMCTCTGATTGGCTGATGGCCGTGTTTATATCAGAGGACAGAGACAAGGATTACTGGCAAAATTTGTTTTTCACTYGAAAAAGAAAATTTGAGAAAGAACTATAAAATGGCCGCTTGTGTCTCTGTCCTCTGATATAAACACGGTGGGAGTTGAAAAACTCRAGAGAAGCAAGAGGGGGTTAGTTGGTAGGTATGCCCGATGGAYGGTCCGTCGAGCATACCTACCAACTTTTATAAGGGAGTTCCCCCCCCACCCAAACTAGTGAAAATAACACATTCGTGGTATTGGAGGTAAATAAAATTCATTTTAAAACATTTTTGCTTTCACTGATAATAGGCCATTTGCATGATGGCGTAACTTTACTACAACTACAAGAAAGCCTTGCACATTTTCTTTGTTATTCAGATTTTTAATCCCCTTAGCGATTAGTAAAACAATTGGCACTAATTGCATTACAAAAGAAAGTGGGCAAAACATTCTGGTAGTTGTAGTAAATGACGCCATAATGCAAATCGCCTATTAGAGTTCTAATCGTCTCGAGAGAGATGAAGTCAAATGTTTATGTTCTTGCTGTATGTCCACAATATTATGTGATCTAAAAAGAATGTTTCATGGTCGCTTGACCAAACAAATTTTATCTTCTCGTGTTAAAAATCTCCAAGCAACCATGTAATATCCGCTTTTTCATATGGAGCCTGTGCAATACAAAGAATATAAACTCTTCAATTTTATTGCAGAATATTTTTCCAATCCATCATTAAAAGATGAAGTGTCAGTTAAGGTTATGGAGCTAAAACAGAAAGCTGCAGGATAAATTATCATTATTGACCACAACAACTGATGTAAATTATTATATTTGTAACAGTAACTTCTGTGCCTATTTAAAATATTAAAATGTATATACAGTSATATACAGTATACTATACATATATGGTAATAATCATGATGTTTCTGCTWTGATGTTTTTAAGTTTGAAATGTAATGATCATATTTTTAGTTTCGTGTTTCACTATCGTAACATTTTTGACAATTGATATTGTCAACAGCTTGCACAGATAAAGTWGCAGTGTACATGGCAGGCAATAATACTAGAGTTGTATACACTCAAAGTTGGAATATAAATGATTCATTTTTGATTGCATATAATAACTAGAGTTTCATAAAAGTTACCAAACATTAAATTATCTCGGCTATTTCTCCCACTGGTCTGTGGCAAGAATGATGGTGTTGTTATGATCGCCTTTCAAATGAGTTTTTGTTGATTATACCTTTTAGTCTTTTCAATATTTTCCTCTTCCATGCTTTCCAATCTTGCCCTCGGGCTTCTTTGTATTTTTGTAATCGGTCATTTAATTATCGTTCATATTTCATCATCATTATCACTCTCGTTGTCATCATTTGACTTTTGGTTTCAACTCTTGCATAAACCGTAAGCGCGCATTTAGTATAATCTCCATGTACTGGGTTGTTAAGATCTGTACAAAACGAGGTTAAAGAACGTGTTGTTTACAACGTTTTAGCAACTGAAGAGGTTAATAAACGAAATCGGCATTGAAGTTAAAACGACAAAAATTGGATTTTGCGACTCATAAGTCACGAATGCTCGTTCACACAATTTCTCGAGTTCCCATATTTACGCTATTAAGTAACAATGCGCGCAAAAAGCAGGCAACTTTCTATTGTTCTGCGGCAATTGCAACTTCCCCACATACGAATGTCTTGGTCTTCACACTGATTATATATCAACCTATGGGTAACACATTTTTTAAATAAAATGTGAATAAACTCTGTTTTGAAACAAAGTTTCTTTTGTATTAAAAGATGTTGTCCAAGTCATAAGCACTCAAAACAATAGGGTCCAATAGCCAAAAAATGCTTCTAATTTGCTATGTTCCCCACATAGAATTGCTATTAATATTAAAGCTAAGGAAAGCTTTTATGAAGTCGGAATCAGATATTAAATAAGATATTTAAAAGTGCGCTTACTTTTGAAATTATGTCAAATTTTAATGTTTTAACCAATGAGATGGATGGATAATACAATACAAAATTAGCACCTTCATGCATTCCATTGCCGTTTGCTTGCCTGCTTCTTACTCGGACCATTACTTAAAAGGCAACATTTTTAGAACGTGTTCCAAATTAGAAGTGTTTCAATCTAGAGCAACTGTTTCCTCTCTCAGTCAAAACCTACATGTAGCTGCGAGGAGTATGTTCAATGTTGTGKTAGTGTTTAGAGTTGATTAGTAGGACACTTGTTGTTTGGTTAGAACAATTCAGACGTTAATATATTTATTTATTATTTATTTTGTTATTATTAACGAATACATCTAAATGGTACTCATTTCTGCATTTATCCGGAAAAATCCCGTTTTTTGTGGTTAAGTCCTGGATCCACCACTGCTTGATATCTGAAAGATGATACACACGATATTTGCTGTTCATTGGTTTCCTTTTTGAGGAAAATGTGAAATATTCGAGCTAAAAACATACCTATCGTTCTACTGAAGAAATAATTTGGAGTCTTTGTGATTTCCGATTGTCTGATTAATATTGAATTACCTATTTTAAACATCGATGATTTTTGGCTCTATGACTGATATCTACCACTTCCAAGGAAAAATAACCACTAAACGTCCCGAAAAGAATTTTTTTCCCATATSAAGACCCACAAGAATGACTGACTGACTGACGGGCTTATAGTTGAATGAGTGACAGTCTGATGAAGTCGCTGGCTTCGTGACTGATTGGTTTGTTCATATTTTGTCAGCTCTTTGTCAAAGTTTAGTTATTTTAAGTCCAATAAAATGATGACTSACAAGTGTTTGATGAAAAGATCTATACTGGCATACTTAACCAGCCCGCCTGCACTGAATTTAGGAAGTGCACGCACAACGACGTCAAAACTTGGAACACGTGCAGCAGTGACGGRCACAGTACCTCACAATTGCGAGCGCCCCGGTATAACGGAAGGTTAGCTAGCGCAGCTAAATGAACTCGCTATTACGACCATTGAATGTCCTCTGGGATTTCGTATTTTTGAGAGCTAGCTGTACATTGTGGGGTTGCAGTTTTTAAGAAGTATGGATTAGCGCTCAAATTTGATCGTCCAAAAAAAMMAAAAMMAAAAAAAAACACGTAGTGCCCTAGTTAGAGTAGTAAGGCTGGTAGAAGAAACTGGACTTGAATAATGCATAATAGGCGCTGTGCAGAACACACATTAGAATACAAAAAACATTTCTACTAATGTAATAAAGAAAACCCGTCAGTAACATAAAGTATGGAAATGTAATTTATATCTTGACTTAGTGTTGTCTGTACATTGTATATCGATAAGAGGAAAAAGTCTAGTATCACATGAAGCAATCTAAATCCGCTCTGACAACATCATTCATCTCTCGGTATTCTTTTTAATATTSTGTTCGCAAGAAAAGTCAGTAAAGTTAGGAAGTTATGAATTTGTTTTTGTCATTATTAAATACTTTTCGTCGAATGGTTAAGGTCGATTTTCTCAGTAATGTCGTTTATGGTTGAAAGGACGTCACGAAAGGTCATCCATTATTTAATGTTCGAGAAAAAACACGCGAGGCCCGAAAGTTGAAAAGCGTATACGGATTAACGAGATTTCACTTAACCTGTATTAAAAACTCAGGAACTGGTTCTTGACCTATATCAAACAATAACGCGACACTTACATAGGACTTGCTCAACTAAGTTTTCCTGTTGATTTTATTCAAAATAAAGTTTCGGCTTTTAGTGGGCGATGATTTCCATTTATGTTTTTAAAGTTTTAAAATCGAATCAATTTAGTTTGAAGTCGTTCCAACTATATGCCTGAATGACAACACAGCAGACTGGAAATAGACCGGTGTTTTATGTTCTTTATGTATTTCTTTCATTTAGAGGTTCTGATACTGGAGACTGAGTTTCTCATAATTGACCGCTTTGTAGTAACATAATAAATATCCCGGCTAGAGAGCTATTAATATTTCATCGTGTAAATAAATAAGAGGTTGTTTGGTAACTATTCTCAATGAAGCGTACCAGCAAGAGTCTTATTGCATCGTTTGACGAACCGCGGGTGTAAACCCACTTTACCAATAGTACTGAAAAAAATGACGTGTTTACTATAAGATGTATAATGGAAGCTATTTGGAATTCTTATACAATTCTCTCTTTACTTGATTTTTATTTTTTTTWAAAAACCTAGTTCGCTGTACTGAATTGCGTCGTTGCTTGATTCCATTGCCAAAACCGCCCTTATCAGAGCGCTATTTTTGATGTCTACAATGGTCGATAATGTATCATGAGAAATGTTAGTAATCGAAGCTTGATTTGTGACAAGTTAAACGTTGTAGCAACATAAATAGGCCTCCACTTCATTTCTTGGTGATCATGTTCAGTTCTCTTGCATTCTTTTGTCCTTCCATTCAATTGCTAAATGAGTTCAAAATCAATGTACCGACAGTTTGAAAGCCAAACAACTCTAGAAGCTTCTCAAAAAGAGCATATCTTTGGCTCAAAGCTTTGGCTTACAATGAAAAGCCGTTTGATGTTAGAACTAACTATGTAAAACATGATAAAGTCAACATGTAGATAATTAAAGCAAGCTGACTTGGTCCTATGATAAGGCGCTGTTTGTGTTTGAATGGCACAGTAGATTACTTTGTTCTTGGCTCCTGCGGTGTGCACCTGCTAGAAAGGCGCTCACTTTTGAAAATTTTAAATAAGCTTTTTTAATTGTATTCTTCCTAATCTTGCTACCGAAGTCATTTCACACGTTGTGGTAGTAATTGTTTTTTCTCACTCGATAGGTACTTGGCACTTAGCTTGCAGGAAGTCTCAAAGATTTTAATTACTACGCGAAAAAGAAAATTTACCCTTCGTAAAAAAAACAAAAGTTGGTTGTATTACTTTCTGTGATGAACAATGAGTGAATAAACGATATACCGATACAAGTCAACATAACCAATTGTTACAGATGTCAGCAATTGCTTTCTTGAGTGATGTCCGTGAGGTTTATCTTGCGCTGTTAAAGTTATCTTTCGCTTTTCAGCTTTGGAGCAAGGGTTGGGGTTTACGAGTTGTATARAAACATCGCGTAAACATCAACTACAATGAGGAAAATCGGTGACACGACTGGATAAGTGCCATAATTCAAGAGAGATTCAGTTACAATGCCTTGCAAGCATGCGTGTTCTAGTTGTATCATATGCTCATCAAATTTTAAACTGGCGCAATCATAGCTACGGTTATCTGCTAACTATTGGAAAGGTAGCGGCGCGGTGTGACCTGTCGTTGTTATTGGTATAGTATATGGTGTGAATTGCTTAAACACCTCATAACTGAAGTACTCAAATATCGATAAATCTGTTCGATATGAAATAAAGATTTAATGCGAAACCTAAGGACCGGAAAGATAAACTATTTGGTTCTTCACTTCTCTCTTATCAATTGAACACAGAGAATATCCTTATTTCTGGCTGTTAGGATCGCGTGGTTCGATTTTGAACGTGACTGAGTCATCTTGGTCTGGTTTAAATGATCTTTTATGGGTAATTCGTGTTGACATATGAGTTTAAGAGCCCCTGTCAAATCTACATCTCCTCTTTCGCATTTTTGGGTTTGGAAAACTCTTATTAATGAAGATTATGCGATGAATGAGACATCTCAAATGTTTAAATAGTTTGATGAATCGTCGATACTTTTTATATCTCGTTATAAGCGACATAGTGTCATTCGATTCTTATGCCAATGAACAAATGTCTTAAGGAACTCATCGTTTCATATACACCTTTATTAGCAAATTTTAAGCACCATCGTACACTGTGCAACATGTGGCCTTATTTACATGGTGGGAAACCCTAGACGTTTTATCCTGATAAGAGTAGTTTAAGAAAACAGCCTGCTAATAACCACTAAACATATAAGAATAATAAATGCATGTAAATATTCCTAACTAGTGCCTTTTGGACGCGAATAATCCACGCAACCTGGTTGCACGCTGCTATCTGTTCCTTTTTKTTACATCTTGATGGMATGTTAATGAAGGATAGTTTACATTAAAACTAATATTTTATCAGAAATAGAACTCATCGATGCAACTAACAGTGAATTCATTTGGTTTATCTCGACAACGTACAATATGCTCTTTCTTGTTTCTCTACTTCACGTCGCCGTAGTTGGGAATCTACCCCAGGCAACGWACAATTGACCGTGAAATGACTCAAGAGGTCGTCATTCCTGCAGGGTGCACATCATTATAACCATCCTCTTGTTTTTCTCCTCATTTTTGCCAGCAAATCAGGGAGATTTCGGTGGTAGCAACCGCTTCTCGTTTTCATTTTGATTGCTATCACTTTCAGTCTTTTTTGATCGTTCAGACATGTTGTGAGCGGGAATAAAGGAGCCAGATGTTTCTTGCATATATTGAAACCTTGTTTTTCTTAGACGTAAAAGTTTTTGGAAAACTTTGCGAAAATCGGATTTGAAAAGAGCGTAAATCGGAGCATTAATAAGCGAGCCCAAGCATAGAGTATACCACGAAACTATGACAAGACTGTCTGGTGCTAATGCAGGAACTTTACTAGCATCTATTGCCTCCACGGTTGTCATATACACAACTGGTAGCCATGTTATCACAAAAACTCCCGAGATGATGGCAAAAACCCGAGCCATGCGTGCTTCACCAGTTACTCTCTTTCCCTCCTTGACAGCGTCGGGATGAAGTCTGTAAGTGTGTAGCTTAGCGAGATTGCGAACTTGACGCGATACTTCTCTAAATATCATGACATAAGCCACCAAGATGCATATGTACGGGATTAAGATACCGATAATAAGAATSCCGAATAAGTAGTACCTGTGGATTGGGTTAGAGCGATCTCCATCGTAAGATATTGGTATAAGAGTTATTCCAATTGGCAGWACCCAGGTTATGACTAAAATTTTAGTGAAGTGTTTCGACATAGTGACATGATAAATCAAGGGCTTCATAACGGCGAGAAAACGGTCCAGTGTTACTGCAAACATGTTKGTAACATTAGCCATTAGGATTCCAGCGATCAGGTAAGCAGTTTGTAGTGAAGCGGGGTTATGGATCATGACAGGCAGGAGGACAGCGCCGAACAAAATGTCTGATAAGCAAAGTGACACTACAAAACCGTTGGTATAAGTCCGTAGGATGCGATAACGGTACACCATRTAGCACACAACTAGACTTTCCACTGTTATKATWAATCCTAAGACGCCGAGAGCCCATGAATTGCCGGTMCCCAATTCCCACATTTCCGTTTATCAGCGAAAAAGAGAATGTCTATGGTGTGATATAAAGTGGTTGAGTAACCCACGGGTCTTCCTTYAAACGATCACAGGTTTGTGTAGAAGTGGAAAATTTTCACTAATATTCTATGACAAGAATAGTGGACTCACTTGAAGTCGAATCTCGATCTTCGTTGATTGACGATGCTGTTGCGCTAGACACTGGGCTTACTGATATTTTTAACCAAAGTGACTACCAATCACAWTGAAGGATAAAGTCAGGATATAAGTGGTTCACCCGCGCGTTTTAGATGTTTGACACTACTTTGATAAAGTGACTTGTTTCAATGGCGCATAAAGACTTGGTAGTGGAGATTGATGTATTACTTGGTTTTTACAGCGAGATGTAATCGACTACAGACCATGGAGCGAAGAGAGTTGTCAGAGAACGTTTTTGTCACGTCTTGTATTTTAATAACCTTTCAGTCTGACGCGATGACTCGCCTGGAAACCAAAGTAGAAACATTAATTAAGGTATCGAAATAGTATGATTGAAAGCACTCTAAGTGACGATAACAGGGTTATAGCTCACATTTTTAAATGTGACCTTTATTTCACAAGCTATCTGGAGTTAATGTTAATTTTTAAGCAATGTGGCCAATAAAGTAAATTAATTTCTTTAATGACTTTGTAAATATCGTTTCCTTTTTGGGTAGTTTTGTTATGAATAATAATGGAATGATAATGTTCTTAATTTCCTGCTCAAATGTACTATAAATCGAACCCAGACCCCATATGCACGCCTCCGTTTAGACAGTATAATACAACATAGCATTGTTGATCGAAATCAGGGTATCAGCACCACAATACATCACAATCATTATCATCATTATCATCATTTCATATTTTGATGATGCTATTTTCATCAATTGCTGTGGTTGATAATGAAGTAATTATAGAAACCATTTTACATATCCATAAAATACAGGTAAACTGGGAAGACAAGTSATTACGTTATTGCATTTTGGAAACYATGGACGTTTTTTGTATAAACCACTTAAAATGGTGTATCTTAAAGGTCTTTAATATTAGCAATTGTTTTACCTAATGTAAAATTTCAATATCCTTTATCACGGCCGTATTTTGTATAAGACAATGCATTTTTATCTTTAACGAATTATCATTAATTTTCAATTTTAGAACTCGTCATTTATCATTTTATTTTGTCGTAATCATTGAGATGTATCATTTTTCGGTCCCATTTTTCGTTGACAGATAAACGCGAAACAACGCCAGAATAGAACCCAGAATAGAACCCAGAATAGAACCCAGAAAAGAAAATGTTTGGTAATTTACTACAACTGATGACCTTTTTTGAGGATTGATTTCCATTCATTGAAACTTATTTTAATTGTGAATATAGGAAAAACTGTCATTTTGTTTTCCTTTTTTGTGCCCTAAATTCCTAAAAAAATCCAAAAAACTAATTCTTATAGTATCTTGCCGAAATACGTCCACTAAGCGATCGGTTTCTATTGACAGCGAGCTCTTTTTGCAAAATTCATCCAAGGAAAAAATTCCAGTGGACATCATGCGGGCCTAAGGCATGATCAGAGGACCATACATACATAGTGTTAAACTATGACTATCAGGTCAGACATGTAGTCTGCTACTGGTAACATTGTAGCCCAGTACAATCTGCCTCATGGACGGGTCGTCGGCGTCTAAACCGGCACCCCCACCAGTCTATTACACTGGTGAGGAGGGTGGCATGACTCCCAGCAGGACTAAAAACAAAACCTGTCAAAAGGCGAATGAGCTCATTTGAGCCACCGGCCATCATGCAAAAACATTTGACTTGTTTATTGTGATGTAATCTGATTGTTGTACTTTTTTAGTTTGAGATCTTGGGACGGACTGTGCAGCGGCAGCCAGAGGCGCCAACTCAAGCTCACAGTCTACCAAGACTCTCATGTGTTTTGTAGTTGTCATGTAGTTTTAAAGCGCTTAGAACAGAGTTGGATAAGCGCTATATAAATATAGCATTATTATTAAATAGCATTATTATTAAACTGTATCTTATCAATTTTCTATTGTCGACCCAGCTGATCCTATACGAGCTCGTCCGCAGTCGATGTCCGTCTWGCATGTGYACGCAGGAAACCAACAACCCACCAAAATAACGGCGTAAAGKAGTCATGTYAGACTATTCTAACTTACCTAACTATGACTCAAGTTCTGATGAGTGAGAAAATGATCCTATATTTGAATACGGTCAATATTTTAGTCAAAAAAGAGAAGTCGTTCAGGAAGAGGAACCCCGAGAATGGGCAGAGAAAATAGTCGCTGTATTCATTGCTTATCGATAGACTTATGGAAGTGGAAATTAGGAATTAGATTCTTTAATAGGATTTTAAATMTAAAATCGTAAATGTAGAATAAATAAAATTTCCCAGTCCAATGTCATCAGTCGACTGCCAACATTTGAGAAGGTCCATTTAATTAATGCGAAATCCTTTGCAGCTGGAATGCTTCTGTCAAGTGAACATCGAAATGTAATTCCTTGCATGTTTGAAGAAATTTTATRGTTTTTCTGCATTGRCTCTTCGTCGCTACTCTCCGCTTTTTTGGATATAATTTGATTTCTCTTTCACTGAACAGACCACACGAATGATAGTATACAATGATAGCAGTAACATGTTATCTCATCCAAAGTATTGTAAAATAGTATTTTGATCTCAGAGTTTTTCGTTGTGTGTGTAAACCATGAAAAAWATTGATGCGCACGTCGTTGTTAAAGCGTCATGGTGTTCTCGMAATGTGATTGGYTGTGTATACAACGGACACGTCCGGTGTATTGTWCATTCTTTYTCATTGTTTCTATGGTTCCTAATTGAAAATAGTAGTTGGGTTCCAATGGTGACAACATAATCAAAGATAAGCCAAAGAAGAGCATGGGAAGGCAAGAAATGACAAGGTATGTATATGGTATTATTGTTCCCCTGAGAGTGAACCCAAGAGATCGGTTTATGTTCATTGATTGTTCCTTGCACTGACGATATTATCCTCCCGTCTGTCTGTTTTCTCATTTGTCAGGTCCTCACTTTTAAAATGCTTATTGTGTGAATCAACATGTGAAGATATTCTGTTATCTTCGATCAATTGATACGACCGACCTATTCTTGTCTTCGCAAGATGACCTAGTCTACAGCCTAGTACGTCACTCATTGAGAAAGTCTCTTGTTTGCTGGGAAGTACCCATGTTTTGCTGTATTTTGTCTATTTGAATTATCTCACGGTAGAACAATTGATTGAGTTCGTTATTTTGTACTTGATTGATGATCAATTTGTCAAGGAATGGATCTTTTACAGTGGTTATTGGTCGTGGATTTCATGAGGTGAGATTATAGCTTTGTTTTGCGGTTTCAAGACTGAAGAAGGCGATCACTAGTTGACTTTGTGTTTTTTTTTTCTGGACTCAAAATAGATATTTGTCAAGGAAAAGCAATTTCAAGAACTCTTGGAACACTCACTACACACACCTCTGTCTAGAAGTGATCATTATTTAATAATGGATAATGGTAGAGGGAAAGAAAGTGTCCGTACCTCTAGTGTTATCATTATTATATTGATTTATCAAATAATAAATAAATGAATGTTGGATTAATATTTTTTAAATAACTATTTGCATATTTGCATATTTTATGTTTTTAACATTATTTCCAGGGTTTTTTTTTAATAGATTATAGGTTAGATTGTAATTTGATAAGAAGAGAACTTTTATTTAAAAATAATACTATTACTATTATTATTATTATGCATATGCATATGCATATCAACTCTAATAGATTTATAATTGTAATATATACATATTAATATTAAACTTGTACTTAATGTAAACCTTTAGATTTTAACGGTCATGTAATGGTTTCCCCTGATGTGTGTGGTCCAATACGAAACAATATTACATCATGGACATACAGTAGTTCGTTTTGTTATCTTCTATTTTTGATATTCTATATTTTTGATATATACTACTTAGGTTTTGGAAATAAAGATTATTGTTATTATKACATTCTATTATTTTGGGGGGAGGGGGGAAGGGAGGGTTAAAGAATACTTTAGGGGGATGTCATATAGGTTATGAAAGTGTAATCACACAGGAAATGCCTTCCTGTGATTAAATCGTTTCACGTTTAGTAATTTTCAATAGATGTGTGATTTTTATTGATGGGACACTTTTATACCGATCAGTTATCACGACCTTTACTCATTGCTTATTATAATCCTATGTGCTTTTTTGACATCCAAAATATTCAACAATCGATAGTTATTTTTATTATTATTAACTGTCTCTTTTATTTTTGTCAGTCTCATTCACGTTAGTTTTTCATGTCAAAGAGACTTACATTTATTATTTGCTTTGGAGTCATTGCTTCTTAAATCATTCTCTTTTTGCTGTTTTGACGCTGCATATACACCACAGGTGAAACAAGTGTCTTGTTTCTGGTACCCGGGGACACCCATTGCGAAGATGAAATGGAAATCCCGATTTTAATCAAGAAAAACAAAATAATTGCAACGTGAAGMRCCCCGTTACCAAGAGACCCACGTAACCTGTTAGCTTTACAAGATAACAACAAAAGTCTGGCTTTCGAGTTTCTAATGTCACACAGCAACGAAATTGCGTGGAATCTAATTGGAATCTAATTGATGCGGACTCTTTCCAAACACAATTTGTTAATAAATGTCGATGATTTGATCGTTTTTGAAGGAATATTATAGACATACACTTTCTTAAGTGAGATTATCCCAGAGTGTTTGCAAAGAACCGTACTATTGTCTTGACTTTTAATTAAAAAATAAGAAAAATCGAAAGGATTTGCGTGCTATCAAAACTGTCCATCAGTGTCTATTTGATATTTTCTGGAATCAGTGTTGTTCGTTTAGTAAGAGAGTCCTCAATGATGTACTCATTCATTTCGAGTGGCTCTTATCAATTTTTAATCGCGTCAGAAGTAATAATTTTCACTAAAAATGTTTTTATAGGACTGCAGCTCATTTCTATGACTCACTTCTTTTATTCTTCTCTAAATAAGCCTATTAAAATGTATTTTGATGTGTTCACAAAAAGGTAAATGTTAGAAAAAATAAAAATATATGTGTTCAAGTATGAATACGACATAGCTGACTAAAGCTAATTGTATGAAATAGTCTCTTAGAGAGTAAAGAATCTGTTGTGAATGTTAATGTTCCTGGCTATGATACAATCGACAATTATAATTTTATCTTTGTCGACTATTATTCAGAATTTCTCCAAACAACTCGAGTTTAAAAACAGTTCTGTTATCGACGAAAATTGGTTATTTGTCACACATGCTAACGAAGCAGTTCAAGTACTGACTCCTATCATTTACTTTTCTTCTCATTACGAAAACAGTTTATTTTYAACATATCGAATTTAAAACATACCTTGTAACACGAATGTCCATTAACGTTGCCAGTGCTGTCTAGTATCGATGAGTAGTCCAACTATAAACATTCTATGTAAGGCCAGGTGAAGGCAGTATGCGGTCCGTCTCACAATTATCGTGAGTCTGGTTACAATTTTAATAGATTTTTTTTTCGTAATCACTTGATTTGATGAAAAAAGCAAACGTTCAAAATCACTAAAACCGCGTTTATGCGTTCATCTATTTGGGGCGTGMCCGCCAGCATCCACCTGATTGGTWGAAACCTAAACTATAAACTACAGCAAGCAACAACGGTCTTGTTTCGATGATTAAAAATTCAATCGAAAATCAAATACAAATGACACCGGCAATGACGAGCAGAGCAGGATAGAGTAAACAAAGAACAGCGATCTCAAASCAACGAGAAGAGWAAGATATTTACAATTCAATGATTTGTGTGAAATCCCACTTCCTATCAATTAAACGCTCATCAAACTAACCCAAACAATTAACGCACGAAGCAAAGACGCACAACTAAAGAAACAAATAAGAACCACAATATACCACCTTGACGACTGATTTCCTTAATAGAAGTTAGTCTGCACGGAATGTTCGCACGGAATTTATTACTACAACAGTGTATCATCCGAACTGGAAAGATTTACAACATTGTGGTTGACTAGATTAGGCACCCCATAGTCTAACTATGATTAAATATGGGCTATTAGTAACAATCCTACTGAGCTATAGTAATAAATCTCGTACGTTAGTAGAACCGATTTCACTGACTGGGAACTAGTTAGGACCAGTGCCCATGGTGGAGGTAACGATCTGTATATTTCAATGAAACAATATTGGACGGAGTATGTCAAATCAAGGACTACTAGCGCTTTACAATATGAAAATAAAATAGTGACTAATACTGGGACTCAATTTAAAGATTAATTCGATATTAAATTCTATTAAATCAAAAACGTCTGACAGTTGAACGTTAGATTCTTAGGAAACAATACTCTTGCACACTAGTTCCATGATCTTTGTCAGGTTGATTATTCATCCCTTTTCCGATCCAAGGTTTAGGTKGCTAGGGACATTCACTAGGCTCCATGAGCACAGGTTTTAAGTGTCATTTTTTTACATCTAGGCCGTGATAAAATCAGTGCAGGAATCTCACAACTTTATTTTATCATATGGTGTTTTTTTATATCATGAAATGATTTGTAATGCATTTTTTTAAATTTTTGAAAAAAAAACTTACGCGTTGGCGGGCGATGCAGGTGCYCCCCCAAGATAAGGTATGACTCTCCAAATACTAAAATATTGATATCGAATTGATATAGAAATGTCCTGAAGGCAGCCATAGATAGCAAAGTTTGATACTGGATCAACTTTACAAATCCGTCCAACTTCGTTATGTGATTTTATTGTGAGAGATTCGATCCGTTGCGATGTTTGTGGCCAATATTTAGTTTGCATGATCTTATAATATTGAGAATGCAATTGCATGTTTGATGTCTTTGATCCTACATAATGTGATACGAGTCTTCCGGGACACTCACTAGTCCATGAAATGTTACATATTCTGACAACTTAATTAAAAAGCCGAATCGTGCTTTCAGTAACAGGACTTCTTATAAACCCATTCAGATAATGTAGTTTTCATAGGAGTTATGCTGTCTTAAACTATAAAGATATTGAAATATTTTGGTTAGAATAGTGCACAATGTTGTCCTCGTCTAATCATCATGATTGTCATCATGCCTAAATAAAGCCAATGTTGTAATCTGTATGAGTAGTCGTTAAGCATTAGTAGCTCTAATGCTTTATCTTTGGCAAACCATTGAGGATTAAAATACTTGGTTCCAATAAAGCGATTAATTTTGGCTGCTACTAATCGCGCCAGTAACTATGTTTTTATGTTAGTGCTAGACAGAGGGGCTCTTTTGCCTCACTCGTTATCTTTATAGTGCAAAGTTTAAATTAATGTTAATCAACTTTTAATTAAACCCTTGAGCTAGCAATGCCATACTCTCATCATCTTTTTGACCTCTCTAATTTTGTCACTCTTTCGATTATAAATAAATAAAGTTCACTAGGAGAAATAAGATCGTGATCAGCAGTGACATGTAAAACATTCATTCAGGAATAACAAATTAACAGCTTCCATCACATCGAATTACGTTCCTATGAAATACAGCGCCTTGCACTTCCGCCATCAACGTATTCAAAGAAAATCCCGATTTTCAAAAATAACTCGTTACTAATGCTATCAGTTTACTYCAAATACGAGAAAACATAATGTTATGTTTGTTCAATTATTGGTGAATTTGTGGCATTGGAGAAACCCTTGAGACTCGTAAACCGAGTGAACAATTGTTAACTGCCACMAGCAAAAGATTTCGTTGTGTTCATGTCCTAATATTTGACAGATCAAGAAGAAAAAGTCATCCTTTCGTCGAAATTAAATTGAAAACAACAATTCCCTGGAGTTTATGAGCACATATAATTACCGCTAATGAATATATATGCATGTATTACCTGATGAATCGAGTTGTCTCAGCCATAACGGTGAAGTGAAGTCAACTTTGTTGTATTGCCTATACGAATATCAAACAACTGACAAGTGATTGGTCCACGGCGAATTAATCGATGCTCCCTGACAAATTCCTAATGGATATTTGCTTAAAGCCGTATGTACTGTACCACTGTTTATACATCAAAACGAGTGAGTGGGTGGGCGAGTAACCTCACTAAACATCAATCGTTCTTTAATTTACAATGACAGTTATTTTTGGTCGATTTTTTGAAGTCCTTGAAAACTGCGATTTCTTGATAAGCCTGCTGCAAATGTCTACTAAAAAAGCTCGTAATATGAACTTTGTCATGTGAAGATGAAATATATCGTGAGATTTTAGCTAAATACAGCTATGGATTATGATAGATTTACTGTGCTATTTAATAAGACTTGCACCTCATAATACCTAATTAGACTATTTCATAGGTGGCTGTATATAGTTGCTTTGTCAATGATCGTTTCTTGCAACCACAGACCAACACATGTTTGTGTTTAAATAAAGCTGCCACATTGTGGTTTTTGTCTATTATTCATGGCCATTTTGGTCAATTTCTGGCTTACCAATATAGATTGGTGGTTATACAATAAAAACTAAGTGAGAAACGCATTCGATCGTGTGCCGTTCTAGTTTAGGTAAATTCAAACGAGCAAGAAAGTAGTAAAGTGGTTTTAGTGCAGTAAATCTAAACGAAACGAGTCCTTTGAGTTCGTTGAAGAAGGATTAAAAAAGCAAATTAAAAGCCCATTGAGAATCAAAGCCTGAGAAACAAGAAATTGAAGGTTACAACATAATTAGATAATTATGTGCTTTTTGTACATCTCAAATTGAACAAGATAAAACAGCAATAAACAGTGTTATTTTTTCATTCTAATCAAATCAAGAAGATACATGTAATTGAAGTAAGTTCTGTATTAGGTTCAAAAGAAAAGCAAATAAAAAAAGCGCTTTTGCGCATTAACCTAAAATGCTATTAACAATCAATAAACGCCAGAGGAGATAGCATCACATCAATGATAACACATTATTTAGGTTTAGTGTGACAGAGCTTCATTGCCAACATCAATAAAATAGTGTGAAAAAAAGTGAAAAAAACATTTGGTTTGAGCAATTTTTCCTTGAAATGTAACATTATTACAATGTATGTCATCAAGTAAAATCTACAGAATAAACAATTAAAAGAGAAACATTGCTAWRGGGTAGATYGCTCTCACGATAGACTACTTCCAGTTKCAAGCCATCAATCAAATCAGTTGGAAATCTTGTTCTTTTTATGGTTTGAATCAGCCGAGAACAGAAACCTCATTAACACATGAAAGTCAAATTTCCTATTGAATATATCACCTTTGTTTTGTACAAATATTCGAGAGATCGTCTTGCAAAAACGTCTGAGTTAAGCTGATGCGACCGATTATCCTTTCCTTGACAAAAGCTAGTTTAAAAAGAGGCGGCTTCCACTCTTCTACTAAATTTAGCGCAACTAAGCTTTACTCCATGTTTTTCCTTATTGAAAACATATATGAACGCGAGAAAATGTTCAAATGAAAAACAAAATGATAACAATGTAAGAAGAAGTGAAAAGAAGCGAAGTATGAATTATTCATGTATGTCTTTCCATGTCTTGTGTGTTTGAGGGATTTTAAAGTGGCTGTCTGGTATCATTAGATTCCAAACTGTCTTGTTTACCTTATGTAAAAGCAGGGAGTCAAATTAAACTCCGATGTTGTCCAGATAACGGTAATTAAAACGGTCTTAACAACATGATGAATAAAACTCGACTAATCTTTACAGTGATGACACCTCACATGCGCACCTAATTTCCTGCTTTTAGTGATGCTAGCAAACATACATTCACTTGTCTCTTGATTGTAGCATTCATTCATTAGGACTGACAATACTAGTTCCGATAACTAATTTCACCGAAGATCTCCCAAATCCATGCATGCACGGAATATTCATACAAACACTCGAAAGCGAAATTCCTTAGTAGTCTTTTCCGCTGCTTATTCAAAAATTAAGATAAATTTCATAGAGGTAGTAATTGAATTTAGTCAATATATTAAAAGTGTAACTCACTACTGAGTTAATAACTTTTTTTTATCAAAAACCTGATAATTTTTTTTACTAAGGAGTTCAAACATAATGTCCCTTCTGGCGCCATTTTGATCAATATTCTAGTGCATTTCTGCAATCGCCAGAGTTATTCATATTGATAAGCTACATTTATATATTTTTAGCTCAAAGTGCATTACGATGGAAAGAAAACCAATTGATGTCCTATATTATTGCATTCTACTACTATAATAACTATTACGTACCAAGCTTGTATTTTGCCCTTCAGCAGTGAACTCGTAAATGGAACGTAGAATACGTGTGTGTCTTATTGTGATAGCAATCAGCTGGCTTGCTTACGGCCAGTAAGATGACGTCTAAATGACACATATTAATAGCAAACTAATAAGAGAAACTTTGCTTCTAGCAATCCATCATCAGAAGGAACGATCAATACTTCTAAATCGTGTGATTAGTAAACAATAGCTTAATTTCAGATTTTAATTTAATTTGAGCAAATGTTCGATGTCACGAGAAAAAATGTTGTCTCGGTATCAATGGTATTTTTGTATATGGACTATGACCCTGGTCGAGACTGTTTTCTTTGATTTGATTGTATTCACTGACCCTTGTATTTATTTCTAGAAGAGTGAAAGGAATGAAGTGTAATGGTATCTAGTAGGGGAGGGGTCGTGATATTGGTATATATATTGG